GACTAATCGCAAAAATAATCGGTGACTAGTCGACTATCAAAATAATCGTTTGTGGCAGCCCTAGTGGGAACACGATGGGATAACTGTGGCCGAGTGGATGCTTGGAGAATCAGACCAGTTTGACTTGTTTTATACATTTTTTCCAAAGCCGAGTTCTCATCATATCACCAGCAGGAGATCGGGGGGCGTGTGAAAGGGTTTTGGTAACCAGTGACGTGGAAACCGTCGAAGGTCATTGATATTTAGTGATTTAAAGTCACGTTGAGCAGAATAACAGCTGTTCATATGAAGCAGGCGGGTCCTGAGTTAAACCAACTTTGGAGTGGTCAACAACCAATGAGAGTGCAGGATACTGGAGCTAACCACTGCGACTCTCCCTGCTTTAAACGTCAAAACCATCACAAGTAAAAGCCAATTAGTCTTTGAGTCGAACTGATTCATGCCGATGTTTGTAATAAACAGTCTCAGGACTTGGTTTGTCCATCATTTGTTGCTCTGATAATCTCCTGAATGTCCCAGAACAATTATATTTGGTATCTGCCTTTAAAATTAAGCTCTTCACAAAATCACTGCTGGAGATCATCAGGTGTTGGTTCTGAGTGTTTTCATGCTCCTTTGTTTTAGATTTACCCGTCTCATAACTATTAACTATTTGAGGCTATAGGTGGAAGACAGCACAGCCCTCCCAGTCGTTTTCTTTTTAGCCTGGACTCTTTAACTGGTTTTTAAACGTTTTTCTTCCTCTCGCAGGTCCATCACCCGTCTGGCCAAAATCGACGAGGCCACGCTGAAGAAGGCGGCAGAGACCACGGAGATCCTCTTGGACCACGACAAGGAGTGGAAGTTGGGGAAGTGCATCCAGCGTTTCCCGGAGATCCTGCAGAAGATTCTTGACGACCTGCTCCTCCATACGCTGTGCGACTACCTGTACGAGCTCGCCACCACTTTCACAGAGTTCTACGACAGCTGCTACTGCGTGGAGAAGGACCGGCAGACGGGTGAGCTGGGTCGAAGTTTAGATCGGTTTGAGGGGGACAACTCTGGTCAGGATCCAAACTTCAGTTTGGTGTTCACGTGTTGGTTGTTTAGTGCATCCGATGATCGTTTGGTTTGATATGACGTCCTTTCCTCTCAGAATGTGCTTTTAAAAGTTACTCCAAGTTGTGTTTCTAAAGTAATAATAATAATAAATAATAAACTTGGCATAATGTAGTCAGAACAAAAGTTTGAGCCAAGGTCCTATTGGATGGCCGAAGGATCCAGACCCGACTGTTTAGTATGAAGCTGCAAAGAAGGGTTTGAATTTTCGACTTTTCACTGTTGCTTTTGCAGAAGTAATCGATGTGTTGCAGGTCGTCAGTGAATCCTGATGAGAGAGAGGATGTCTGGACTGTTAGTCTGAGCTGAGGTCTGACTCATTGTGCAGCCTTCCTGCTAACAAAGAGCCCACGGCTTATTAGACTACGCCAGTGTAAGGTCGTTCAAGCCCAGAGCGCCTTGCTGGTGGGTTTCTTAGATTTACTACAGCACGTTTTTTTTGGAGATGGACAAACAAAGCCTACGATTCTGTGTGCGGATCGTAGAGCGGCCTTGCTTTCAGTTTGAGTTTGATGTTAAAGGAAAGTGTTGGCTGAGGACAAAAATCCCAGAAGCCAAGGGCTGGAATTCTAAAAAGCTTTGAGAAAAAGCGTCTGGACTTCTTTAAGTTGCTTGAAGACCAGCTTGACCTCAGGAAATCACATGATAGGGTGGGGCTAGGGGGTTCGTGACCCCCTTGGGGGACACTCCCACAGGGCTTAAATCTGGGACTCTCCACCATTTGACCTTAGAACTGAAGAAGCTTCTCAGATGAGAGCTGAAACGTCTTCGAGAAAGTTGTTTTTCTTTCCAAGCTCTTTAGACTACCATGACCTGGATGACTGAGAACCTTCACAGCCGAGGGCTGCAATTCTTTCTCCAGCCAGAGCAGTCGCCCTCTGGTGGTCGTTAAATAGAATGCAGCTTTGAAGCACTTTGCTGGTTTCATTGTTATTTTTTGACCTGGCAGAGTTCGTTCAACCTGTTAGTAAGAGTGACCTAAGAGTAACTCCACCTTCTCGTTGGAACATGATCACTGCCGGCTTCAACAAATCAACATGGAGAAAATGGCGATCCACAGACCAGTGTGTGTTTAATTACTAAATGGAAAAAAGATCTTCTCCTGTCTCCATCCTTGTCGCATCACCGCACACCAGGATGTCGGCTTGTTTGGGTCCACGTTCACGCCCCTTTAACGACCTGTCTGTGTAACGCTCCTCTGCTGCTCATTACCGACTTAATTTCTATTGGATTTCTTCTCCGTCTGACAGTGCGAGGCTGTCACGACTGCCGTGTGCGGATGCAGATGTTCAGGTCACTGATTTTTATTTGATGCTGCCGGGTGATGGCGGCATCATTAAACGCGCCCTCTGAACTTTTTGTTGTTTATTAGTCTCGCTGTCTAGTGCACCTCTGACCGCTTCAGTCTCACCTCACCTCTGTTTATTATTCTGTCTTTTTTCCCATCATCGCCGCCTTAATTTTATTTTGTTTCAGACTTTGTATCTTTTAGCTGTCTTGTTATTTCTTATCCTCTACATAAGGACAAAAAATGGGGAAATAAAGTCCTGTTCAACACTCATCGTGGGGTTGGTTTGTGCTAGCACTTTTGTAAAATGCGTATTTACTGAGAAAATAATCTGATAGTTCAAGAGAAATAAACTCGAACACGCCTTTGATTTCCTCCGTTTGTCTGCTTTTACCTTTTCAGGTGAGGTGATCAAGATCAACATGTGGAGGATGCTGCTCTGCGAAGCCACTGCAGCCATCATGGCCAAAAGCTTTGACATCCTGGGTCTGACCCCGGTCGAGAGGATGTGATGTCAGAGTTCAGAACGAGGGGAAGCCTGAAGATGAACCTTGGCAGTCTGAACTCAGTGAACCGGAAGAGTTATTTTTCCATAACACTTATTAAATCAAACATGGGACGGGGAAATCATTGTGTTCGACTCATTTATTAATGTCTCGTGTGAAGGATCTTTTTATTAAAGGGCGATTGTGAAACCAAAATATCACCCAGTCTGCTGTCAGTCATTTTAAAGCTGGTTCTGTAAACTTCAGTTGAGACATATCGGCTTCTTGGTTTGGTCGGATATATTTAAACACAAACTCCGTGGTTGGGAGCTATTCTGTACACAGCGGTGCTTCAGAGGGTAAAGCTCTGAAATCGGTTCATTGGTGTGTGAGTGAAAGCATTTTGATTACGATCTTGGATATCACAGGATAAACTGGCTGTTTTTCAAGCAGAGGTCGATTACACGTGCTGCTGCTCATTAAGACCCTGTTCCCACTTCGTGCTGTTAACACGTGATCTGTCTGGATAATGACGGCCAATCTGTGGGATTCTACGTTGGGAAGTGTAGGCACAGAGATGGATGGGTGCCACTTTTGCTCATTGGGTTTAATTTCCAAAAGTGCAGCTGGAAAGGCCCATTGATTGGATGTCATTACACAGAGAGATCACATGGTAATTTACACCTGGCTCATCAGCGTACCCAGCGTTTTGTAGACCCTGATTAACATGATTTTTTTTTTCCCTCACCCAGAAAAGACAGATACAAAATATGAATTTAAAAAGCCTTGAAAAATCTGAGATTGCTATTTGCAGTAATAATATTATTACTCGTGTTTGTGTGTAAGCTAATATCTATGAAACGGTGTTTAGGTATTCAGCACACAAAACTGAAGTTATACTTTTGTATCTCATGTTGCCAACATTAAGATCTGCTAAGTCAAAGTCAGCTGTAAAGTTGACTTAGCTAGCTAGCTTTAATTTGGCTACATAAATAAAAAATCTGCTATGAGATTTCATTACTCTAAAAAGCAAATGTTAGCTATGCATATTTTGTAATTATATTGTTTACTGATGGTTAATGAGTTCATCTAACATGGTTATTAAACATCAAGTACTATGAAAATGGACGGTGAAGTTACTAGACCTCGTTTGAATAATTTAATGATGCTAAATACGACTTAGCAGAGCTAGCATTTTGTATTAGCAGGCCCGCATTAGCTAATATTAGCTCTAAAAAGCAAGAAGCAGAAGAATTGTTTGGTTTTTCAGCTCAAATCCAACCTTAAGCTATTAGTCTGCTGATGTTGAATCATAGACAATATAAAAGTGGGACATGCTACTTCTGAGTCTGTGTTTAAAATGTGACACCAACATGTAACTGCCTTTGCAGACATGTGATTGTTAGCAACGTTGATTTGTCTGGCTTGGACAAGTGAATAAGGGCTGTATCCCAAATCAGGGTCTGCAGCCTTAAAGTACGCAGCCTCAACGATCCTCAAGGGCCGCCTACTTAAAGACCGCTAAGGCCGGAAGTGTTGTGAAATGGGACGGTCTAGCCAACGTCGCGCTGCCCAGGTTGCCTAGCAACCATGATACTAAAAGCTGGAAACGTTTCATACAGCTTTGTTTGACAGAAATGAAGGAGAAAATCTTTTGTTCATTTGTTTGTTTGTTTCTACATGAGCTTTGATCATTCTCTGATTAAGCTCAGCTATTGAACGGCGTATATTTTAAAGTAAAGGCTTTAAAACCAAGTTAGTACAAACGTCACTAATGTCACATGACTTTGCCGACATGTGGCCAACAGGAATGTTTTAATGTTCTTCGTTATTAAACATTTGCACATAAATAAGTGACATAATATTCAGTACTTACTTAAAGTTTACTCTTCAGGCGCCCCTCATCCGCCGTTTTTTCTTTTTTTCGGCAAAATTATCCACACCCACCACCGCGCTATGCATTCTGGGATATGTTGGGCCACGAAGTCTACACCGCCACGTCCTTAAAATTTCGGGAAATTAAGAACGCATTTGAGGGACGCATTTCGAGCAGCCTTCGAATTGAGACAGCCTTTGTCGACAGGTTAGCAAATCCCCCTTCGTGATTACAGCAGTCGTCCACAGTTGCCAGCAACTATCCAAGCAATAGTACCCTTCAAAAAGTTGCTCCTTTTGAAACATGCGGAGGCACAAATTTTACTTTTGAAGGTGCAACTTCTCCGGTCCAGTTTGCATTGTACTTTTTCAAGTTTTACCACGTCTTTGCTGGTAGTTGGCAAGTGTTTGCAGACAAGTTGGTGCTTTTCATTAGAATTATGGGCAACTGTACGGGCAATATACCAAACAATCATACACGGGTTTTTAGTGCAGTGTATTCGGTTAGCTAGTTAGTTTGTAATGTTAGCTAGTAATCTGAGAGCCCCAATGAGTGTGAACAATATCCACACAAAATAAAAATGCACAAAGGGCTTTGCTATCAGCAGTTGTAGCATCATTTCTGGATGCGTGAAGGCAACGAAAGCGAGCTGTGGCTGATGGACTCGAGCTTTCACCTCTGCTGTATTTCCGGTTTTCACCGTGTCTCGTCTTCTTCAGACACCGAACTCGTTCCTTTAAAGGTTTGCGTAACACGTTAATCACACAAGTCCACAGATTGACTTAAAGCTTTTTTCAGTGGGAAGTGTTTTGGATGTATTTCGACTCTAATCGCTTTCCTCTGCGTCGCCCACCCCGCGTCCCCGACTCTGATGTATGGAAAGTCACATTTGATTCGCGCTGCATTTCAGATAACGATTCGTCTTCACTTTTCATGACTCGTGTGAGAAAGTGGCCTTTGTTTCTCAGAAACTCAAAGTGTGAGGCAAACAAACCCATTTGATGAACTTAATTATACATCACACACTTCCTCGAGGCAGCCCGCGAGCTTGTAATTGTTGAGTCTGCCTTTACCCCCCAGACAGATGTGCACTGCGGTAGATATAAAAATTGTATGTCTCCAAGAATGGCCACAAGCCATACAACAGTTGTTAGAAGACTTCTGAAGATGTCTTCCTGTGACCCATCTTTGAAGCTTATGAAAAATATAAAGTCTCTTTCCTTTCTAGTTGTCTCTTATCGTCCCATACGTCCCGGGACTTTATCTCAGTACCTTCTCAGGCAATAATTCCTTCATGAAACATTCATCAGGCTTCCGCAGAGCCTCTGTTTTAGTTTATTCTTTTATTCTTTTGGGTGCTGCCACGTTGCTGCTGCTGCTGAAGGACGGCGTTAAAGGTGTTTTGACAGTCGCCCCGGGAGGAGACCGCTCGCCATGCCACCGCCACCTCAGTAACACCTGCAGAAGCAATAACCCTCCTGCCTCAGTGGGAGAGACGATTATCATCACTCAGTCCTTTCAGCTGAAGTTTATTCCCTCTCCTTTATGTCTCGCGCTGGGTTTGAAGGACTGGGTGGTTTTGGGGCCTGGCGGTTGGTGACGACGTCTGTGGAGATCAAAGCTGCTGAACAACGTGCTCAGGTTTGGGACGGGGGCTCACCTGAGAAGTGCAGGTAAAAAGCAGGTCTGTACATACAGCCACAAAGATGCAATCTCTTTGTGTCGGCAGATTCAACTCCAATTTTCTTTATCATCTTCAGCATGACTTTGGAAAGTGAGGTTCTGGAGAAGTGGGATTGAGTAGTTTGAATTGTCTAAACCAGGGGTGTCAAACATGAGGCTTCGGGCCCAGAAAGGGCCGCAAAGACTGCAGTCAGATTTGGAAAATGTTAAGGAAAGCACTTTACAGGACTGTGAGTAAATAACTGTAGTTTAACTTGTAAAAATTCACCAAAAAAGCTGAAAAAATAGTAAAGCTGTTGATTTAACATTTGAAATTAATGAATAACATGTAGATTTTAGCTTTAAAACGGTTTCAGCTGAGAGGGTTGTGCATACTGAAGCATTACATCAATGCAAAAAATGATTTTCATAATTACCAAATCATTCGTTAAGCAGTGTAATTTCATATTTTATTTTCTTGTTGTGACAGATTCCCTCTTTATTCAACTGTCTCTTCTTTGTTTCCCAGTGTCGACGTCCTTCTGAAATCCTCGTTTCATAAGAAACTTTTCAAAACTTAAACTCTGTTCTTTACCTTCAAAGATAAAGTCTTACTTGTGTTTCTGGTTATATTTAAATTGCAGGTATTTAGCTGCCACTGTGGGGCATGAGTGTAGTCTGTCTTTACAGAGCACGTGTCAGCTTGAGTCCATTCTGGCGACGTTATCATCCCACTGGACCCGTGTCTGCGTTTGTCTCAGGAATGTAAGTCCAGTAATCTTTTAATCTTTTAACTCCAGTTTTGGTCTCCACCACCTCTTGAGGTATAAAAACCCCCACTTGTATTACGGCTCAGTAATAACATAGTAACAGAAAATGAAAGGATTAATAAGTTATATATAGTAACCAAAGTATTACCCAAGTAAAAGCATAGTTGTTCTGCCTTTTATAACTTAAATGGGATATTATAGTTGTAAACTGCCCTAGAGCTCCCTCTAGTGGCTGCTTTGTAATATGGGTTCGGTTACTTTGGGAAAGAAAAAATGAGAACGTGAAGAAGAAATAAAAGATGGCGGAAAGTGATGCCGTAATGTTATTGTTCTAAGCTGATACGGACCTTAAAATGTTGTTGCCTTGGACAAGATATGTCTGTAAGTATTAATGTCGATAAAATAATTATTATCTTTTGTTTTGTGTAAAAATGGTTCGATAATTTGTACATTTGAAAGTTTTATCTTGTTAGCTTGCAGTAAGAGTGTAACAAGCTAGTTTTCAATGTTAGTTAGCTAATACAGTATTTTGTACTTTCAGTTTTACGATGGTCAAAGAGAAGGCAATGGTCAGAGGCCATTCTTCAATAAATCAGCGCAAAAAGGAAAATAAGTCTGGTTATTGGAGCATCGTTATCTCGCTGTCTGGCTGGTGAAACTAAGAGACTCAGGGCGAGGACAGCATAATAGTATTAACAATGAGTACATTTGGATTATGCGGTCCCCAACCGGGCCACGGACCGGTTTATGTCCGACAATATTTCCATGGACCGGCCTTTGAGGTGTCGTGGATGAATACAACAAAATAAGACCAGCACCAGTACCAAAAACATAAGATTTATTCATAACACATGGGAAAAGACCCAGGGAAACCAAGTTAACGATTAAAAAGAAATAAAAATAACGATAAAAACCATACATTTCATACCCGAGCCTCAACTCTCGCGGCCCGGTGCCAAACGACCCGCGGACAGGTGCACGTTATTTTGTGATTTCTTGGCCGGCTTCTTGAACCTTTGACCTGAGTTCATCCAAAGTTCAGCTCGTGATGTTTTAGCACCATATGGAAGAACAGACTTGTATGGAAATGAAACCGCCTGCAGGGACTTCTGTTTTCTCTCATTTGCATCTCTTTCTTAAAAGCCTGTTTGGACCGGGGCGCAACGTCTTTGCCCCGATGAGTATTTTTACTTCACGTTTCCATCTTATCGCGTTTATCAGCAGTTTAACCATGTGATCTGAGAGATGAATCAATAAGATATGCAAATTAGCCTTATGCAAATTAGACACGATTTGCATAATACGTTGCATGTTTATGAGGAGGAGGAAGAGGTGAGGGTTGGAAGGTTTTTTGGGATCGCACTGCCAGACTTATTAATCTCTTGTGCTTCAGTGGCGCAGTGTGGCACCTCATCTTCACGCCGCCTGCCATTTCCCCCGCCTTCCCGCAAAATTACAGTCGGTAATCTGTTTGGCACTCAGACGAGTCACAGAGGAGAGAGAGGGGGAGAAATAACAACAGGAAGCAGGTTTGAGGAGAAATAAACATTTTAATTAGGTGTTTGGCACGGATAGGTTTCACACACAAAGCCGGGAATTAAATAACATATCTGGATAGAACATTTGTATTCAGATGTACTTTAAAGTTAAATAATCTGATATAGAATTTATGACTTTTTCATGCAGTATTCAGGTCAAGCAGGCTTTAAAAGCAACACTCGAACATCTGTACAAGAATAAATACAAAGTTCAAAAAAAATCCTGGAGTTCGGCCTCCGAGTTTTCACCACCGCGGCGTCGTCCCGTGTAGAGGTAGATATCGCTCGTCTGCGAACCGTCACAGGAGCGAATTCAGAAGTTCCGGTGATGGCAAAAAGTGTGTCGGCATTAGAAAGTCCACTTTATCACAGGCATCACCGCCCTGCAGTCACCGCCAAGCTCGAGAAAGACAATTTGCTCGTCTCTCCTCAGATTTTTCCCGATTGGTTTAGCCGGACCGTCTCTAGAACCGTCGAGCCGACTTCACAGCTTTCGATGTCCTTTTAAGGCGTTCAGGACGGCCGCACGTCTCCTTTTCTTTGTTCTCGGTCACAGGTTTGATGCAGCGGCCGCTCTCTGGTGGCTGAAAGTCTGCTTCCTGTCCTCGCTTCCTGACTTTGTCCCGGCAGCTTCCCCTGCCTCCTTCTCTTCCTGCCGGTGATGCCATTATTCCAGAAGTCACACTTGCTCCTTTTTTTTCCTCAAAGTCAAACCAGCCTCAGCTTTTTCACCCTCCCATCAAAACGTCCTTTGTCAAAGCTCGCCACGCTTTGCATTTTTGTGTGTCTGTGTGTGAACTTGAGTGTGAAGCGTAACAGGCACAGCAGGGAGTGCAGAGGTGCTGCTGGCAATCCGCAAGGTCACCCACAGTAAAAAGCAAACATATAGAGAAAACTCCAACAGCAGAGTTTTAAAACTTCCAGAAAGACGCAGGACAGCGCCGGTGCGGTCCGCCCCGTTTCGTCCTGCATTCTGCTTGGTTTGCAGTTCAACCAGACGTGAAGAAGAGTAGGAGGAGGAGGACGAGGACGAGCGCTCCAGATGAGCCTGACTTTCTCTGCATGGGCTCATATCTTTGTTTCTTTGTACTCGGCTCTGAAGGAGTCTTTGATGGCCAGCAGACCGGAGGCCAGGCGGAGTCCGCTCACCTTGCTGTGCCACTCCTGCGACCGACCCCTGGAAGATAAAACACAGAGGAGGTGTGTCAGCGGGAAAAAGGTGGGATAGGAAAACTATTACACCATTAGGCACACAAACGACAACACAAGTGACATCATGTCTGCTGCTGTTCGTTTTTGTAACCTCCTGCGTTTTGGCGCCACAGCAGGACCAAAACACAAGTTGTGTCGGATTTCAGGGAGCAGCAGTTTGAAAAGATGACACTCGAAAAACATGCTCCTAAATCAGCTCTGATGAGGTTTCGCCTGAGTGGCGACACCTGTCGTTCAGGACTTACACTGCTGTGCTGGTTCAGTCTTCTGATTTTGAACTCAGGTCTCCATCAATGGCTTTAGATCAGGATCAAAAATAGCTTCAAAAATGTGGAATAAAGGCTGATACACACCGAGCGCATTAGGAACAAACGTGGAACTCAGAATTTTACAGCTCAAACTTGTCGTGTGACGTGTGGACACACTGAGCTTGCTGCAAAAATAAATAAATAAAATCAGAAAAACCAAGCTTGATCTAGAGGAAAAATAAAATTAATCCAATTAAATAGACCGAAAAATAATTTTAACACAAAAGAAATGGGCTTCACATGTCGGGTGTGTAAAGGCCTTAACAAGTACTGACGCCATACTTACGAAAACGTAGTTTCAGTTTCAGAATTTCATCACGTTTATTAAAAGCTGAGAGATGGAGGCCTGCAGGACTCAAAAAATCCTTTTTGATTTTGAAACCCCAAACGACTGGATCCTGGGATCGGTTTGGGCATTTTCTATCGCTTTATCCCAGAGGATTAAGTTTTAATATCTTTTAATATCTAACGACTTTTTTTTTTTTTAAAGCTATATTTTGCAAATGACTTATCGGGGCCCACCTGCAGTACCTGCATAGGCCACCAGGGGGCTGCAGTTTTAACCAGAGCACAGAGGAAGTGCTGCCCCCTTCTGTTTTTTTAGACTGTTAACGGACGTATTTCATTGCTGGATTTGTTAAAGCTTGGACTCAAATGAGCACCAAGACTGTTTCGAATGTTGGTCAAATGTTTTATGGTCTTGGTTTGTTTTTTTTAGTCAGGGGTCGGTGCAGGAAGCATGGCATAAACTCAAAAGTCTCTGTCCTGTCTGAGAGCTTTGGATGAGAAGACAAAGAAGGTATTCAGAGGTTTTGACTGAGGTATGAAGTCCCTTAAATACATTTCTGCAGTTCTTGTTTATAAGTTCTTCTATGCAGCCTCGTCATCTAAACCTGAGTAAGAACAGGTAACAGAGCATCTGAGCTTCAGCCTGAAAGTCCACGTTGCTTTCCCCGCTCCCTCCCTCCTCTCGTTGGGGCTGTAACGTGTTTAATTTCCTCTGGAGGCGATAGCATCTCCTTCACAGCCCTGTACTGTAAAAAGCCTCGCTGACCTTGATGCAGTGGATCTATTGTCTTGCCTTCAAAGCTAACAAGCACTTAAAATTAATGCCACAGCAAATAAGCCCGAGACAGGCTGGCGCATCACAGATGTTTAGATGAGAGGAAATTAAAGGCGAGAGGAAGTTGGACAACGGGACGAGTGAAGGCACTCATCCCTCTGGTTTTCACTTCTTTCTTACGTGATCACTCTTGCGTAACGGGAGCGCGAGCGGGCCGATGTTTGCCTGGAAATGAAGCTGATTTCGCTTCCGTATGCGCTCTACGTCGCTCTGGATAACAGTTTCGGTTTCACAGGCGGCTCTTTGTTCAGCACGTACTCATCAGAAACAGACGCGAGCGTGTGATTGTGCGCTTCTTTTCACTTCAGTCGTAATGGGCCGACTGAAAAGCCTGCTGAGATAATCACACAGTGAGAGATCAAACCCGTCTCTGCTGTTCTGCCCTCCGTCTCATGTAGCAAATCACCATTTTCACTCTTTGACTGGAGTTCATTTTCTCACACGGCGACGACATTCAGGGAAAATTAGGAAATCAAAAGTGAAACGGTAGAAAATCCTGACAAATTGCATTCTTTGAAATTTTATTTGTGATGCTTGTGTCTCTATGGACAGCA